GGACATTCATTATGTCATGCTTCAGCAGCTCGGCCACCTCAGGACTCAACTCCCGTTCAGCTTCTCATTGAGTCTCCTGCCCTTCGCCTTAGGTGCACAGGGTGACTGTAGCAGCTCCAAGTTTTCAGGTCCCCACTTGACAAGCAAGTTGTAGGGTTTCTTTTTATGCAGCTCTTTATCATGGTGGGAAATCTTTCCATGAGCCCCCAAGAGACAACCTCCCAGAAACCATTGGTCCAGAACTGGGTCATGGCACACCTGAACCTGTCACTGCAGAAGGGAGCAGAATTCCCTGTGCCATTCCAGGTGTGCCATAGCTCTTGCCTGAACAGAATCCAGGTCTTACTGGTAGCACAGTGGAAGGAAGAATGCCCGTGCGCTAGACACCTGTCAGTGTCTGCCAGAATGTCCACCTTAAGAGTAAAAAATAGGTTTCAGAAGGTGATGATCCATTTTGTACCCACTCAGACTACAACGACACAGCCAGGGCTCTTCGTGGTGGCATATTGTCGGAGGGGCGTTCTCCAAGGCCGGTCCATTGGCAGTGCCTCCGCCTGAGTCTCGTGTGCTTGGTGGGAGAGCTTACTAGCAGGAAAGACGGCATCACAGGACTCTCGCTAGTTGGTACTTCCAGTCTCAGCAAAACACCCCAAAAGGGGAAAAAAAGAAATTTGTAGGGTTTTTTCTTTTTAAAAAGTAAGCAGTTGCCCAAATTATTTTTGTTAACTAGTCCGAAAGTGCTAGAATTAAAGTATTCTACTTAGAAGTTCAAGGCAGCACTTAACTGCATGTAGTTGGATAATGAAGGGCAATAGATTTTTTCTTTTTCTTTTTTCTTTTTTTTAAAGGGAGTTCTTACTGCTAGCTAAAATTAGCTTTTAAACAAAGTCTCCTTCTCCGGATTTTGGGTTTTTGACATATAGATTGAAATTATAACTGCTTTTATATGATTTGGAGAAGAACAGGTCCATCCCAGCACCCTGCCTACACCAGACTTCCATAAACCCTGACTCAAATCTCATCCCGAAATGTTGGAGCCAGCTCTCTGTCTAATGTGACCCTGACACCTACCCCAGCCCACATGCGAGAATCATGTGAGCGACAAAAATAACTCTCTCCTGGTGCTTGTGGCAAAAGTTGACAGGGAGCTAGCTCAAAGCTGATTGGACGGTGGAGAAGCATGAAAACGTAAAATGTTGCAGTGAACTCTTGTCTTGGAGGACCTTTGCCTCTGAGGAATCTTCCTCTTGATCAGCACTATGACTTTCAAGAACTGAAATCCTCTTGCTTACGAAAGAGGCACCTCCTCCTAAGAAAACTGGTAGATAAAAGAATATTTCTTTGCTTTTCACCATAAACTCATTGGCAAGATCACCTTAGATAGAATTTTCAAAAGTAGATCCCCTAAATATTGGTATAAAACTTGAAACACTGGGGGCGCCTGGGTGGCTCAGTGGGTTAAAGCCTCTGCTTTCGGCTCAGGTCATGATCCCAGCAGGGTCCTGGGATCGAGCCCCGAGTCGGGCTCTCTGCCCTGCGGGGAGCCTGCTTCCTCCCCCTCTCTCTCTGCCTGCCTCTCTGCCTACTTGTGATTTCTCTCTCTCTGTCAAATAAATAAAATCTTTAAAAAAAAAAAAAACTTGAAACACTGAAACAAAGCTATTGTTAATTTCCACAACTTGAAGTTTAATTAGAAGTGAAAATAAATGCCACTAAAATTTCTTTGTGCAGATGGCATTATTTAAGTTACACTAGACTTTGTAAGAAGACATCTATTTTATTTTTTTCAGATTTTATTTATTTATTAGAGAGCATGAGTGGGGTGAATGGCAGAGGGGGAAGCAGGCTCCCCACTGAGCAGAGAGCCCTGGGACTCCCGTGTCGTGACCCAAGCCAAAGGCGGATGCTCAACCGACTGAGCCACCCAAGCGCCCCAGAATGCATCTATGTGATAAAGAAAAATGCAAAAATAAAAAAAAAGAAGAAGAAGAAAGAAAAAGAAAAATGCTTTAATGCTTTTTCCAACTGCCTCTGTTAAAGTAAATCAGATATGTGTTGATGTTGAATGCAGAAAACACCATTATTAAACAAAAGTTTTAAATAAGTTGTATTGAACTGTCATAATATTAAATTAATTGCTCCCTTAAGAATTAGAGATTGGGGGGCACCTGGATGGCTCAGTGGTTTGTGTCTACCTTTGGCTCAGGTCATGATCTCAGGGTCCTGGGATCGAGCCCCGCATCAGGCTCTGTGCTTGTTATGGAGCCTACTTCCCCCTCTCTCTGTGCTGCCTCTCTGCCTATTTGTGATCTCTCTCTCTGTCAAAGAAACAAATAAAATCTTAAAAAAAAAAAAGAATTGGAGATTGGAGCGCCTGGGTGGTTCAGGCAGTTAAGTGTCCAACTCTTGATTTTGGCTCAGGTCATGAGATTGAGCCCTGTGTCAGGCTCTGAGCTCAGCGTGGAGTCTGCTTGTCCCTTGTCCCTCTCCTCCTCCTCCACTCCCTATCCCCATGAGTACACACTCTTTAAATAAATAAATAAAATCTTTTTTTAAAAATCGGAGATGAGGGACGCCTGGGTGGCTCAGTTGGTTAAGTGGCTGCCTTCAGCTCAGGACATGATCCCAGTGTCCTGGGATCGAGTCCCACATCAGGCTCCTTGCTCAGCAGGGAGCCTGCTTCTCCCTCTGCCTCTGCCTGCCATTCTGTCTGCCTGTGCTCGCGCTCTCTCTCTCTCTCTCTTTCTGACAAATAAAAAGAAAAATTGGAGGTCATTTTCTTTTCTAAACTTTTGGTTTCTTTAGGGAAAAAAATTTTAATTGAACAGTTAAAACTGCTAAAGAGAACTCTGTCTCTACTTTGCAGAGGAGAAATGTGAATGATGGCCTCTATGAACCTCTCTGAATCTCCTTACCTCCCTCCCTCCCCACCAACCTGACGGATGCTCTAGGCCCAGTCGGTGGGACCACAGGCAGGAGCACGAGTGCCACGTCTCAAGAGTTGATCTGAGTGTTCAGGCTACTGGGGTCAGGGTACTGAATTGGTTTTCTAGTCTAGGCTGGCCTGCCAGCTCGTCCCACTTGTTCAGGCAGCTACATTGGTTAATTCATGAAGTACAATCTTAGTCTTAGCTGGCCGTGGAGTGCAATTATCTCTAAAAATGTAAAGAGTCAGTTTAAGGGCACCTGGCTGGCTTGGTCAGTGGAGTGTGTGGCCCTTATTCTTCATTAGTTCAAGCCCCACATTGGCTGTAGAGATTACTTAAATAAATACAAAAAAATTTTTAAACTTGTAGAGAATCAGTTTAAATGAGAAAAGGTAAACATTTCCATTTCAGTAGACCCCAAAGCCACATGGGGGAAAGAATGGATGGGAAATGAACAGGCATGTTGGCAAGAGGAAAGAAGAGAATTCTTTGACAGATAATTCTCAAAAATTAATTTTTAAATATAGCTCACCTAGGAGTCTAGGCCTATAAATTGGCCTTTATTTTAAATATCTTTGAAGAACTTCCAGAGTACTTATTTCAAAATTTTCTTCATTCTGTACAGATTTAATGAGTACCTCTTGTCTTTAGAAAGTATTTTTGCCTCAATTTTTAGTTTATTACAAATTTAGTTATAAAATAACATGGCAGTGGAAATTAAAAACAAGTTACAGCATTTCCTAGGCACTTCCAGGGATTCATCCTTCTCTTGCTCTCCTCACCTCTAGCAGGGACAGATATAAAATAGAAAAACCAAAAGCTAAAAAGACATAGCTTGGTACAAAAGTAAGGTGGGTACCATCTCTATAGATCAGAAACAGGGTAGAACTCCTGAATGTCATGGGAAGACTGCAGCCTGACAGGCCTTGGGTGGCTAGTGTTCAAACCCCTTGGAGTAGGGGGAGCCCAGGTTCCCAAGGAAAGGATACCAGGAGCAGAGACTTTTAGAAAGGTGTGCACCTAGGTAGGGAGAGGACACAGAAGCAATGCACCATAAAAGATGGAGCCAAACCATACCCTGATTCCGTGGCTCTGCCTGCAGTATTCCCTGGATATCCTTGGAGCAGAAGCTTCACAAGTAAGCCCTTCACCAGTTGGAACATGAATTCACTTCAGATGAAATGAATTTTATGGCATGGCCTGACAAGGAACTTAAGTATGTTCAAGCTGTTCAAAGGTGAATGAAGGGATAACTTTAAATTTAAAAGAACAAAAAATCATGGAAACAAAGGCATACATAATGGAAACAGATATGTAAAGAACAGGTAGAAATGAAAAACATGCCTAGAGATGGGATAGCTCTAGTTTTGATAGGCTGAAAAGAAAATCAATTGAAATAAACTGAAAAATGTGTCTGTGATGCATCAGAAAGACACAAATTAAAAAAAAAAAAAAAATACCGAAGGGCCAATAGGAGATACGGAGTTTATGCACAAAGGCCTGACCACTGTATGAAGTTGCCCCCTCCCTGTCACTCTGTCCATCATATCATTCTGTGCATCTCTGTCAATTCCTGTCACTAGCAGAATCACCAGGTTTATGTACTTGTTAACTTATGCCTTCTGAGCTGCTTCTACAAGGTGCTGAGCCGTTTCAGGCATACTGTATGCAGACAGCCAAGAACGAGTCAGATAAGGATCCTGTGTTCTTGGATCCTGTGTTTTAGCCTATTTATCACTGTATCTCTGACACGTATTAGGCAATGTATTTGTTGAATGAATGAATGAATGAATGAGTGAGTGAGTGAAGTAATTAATACCTCAAAATATCTTCCGTGTAGCTTCATGGCCTTGATTACCTGCTGTGTTTGGCCTGCATGGCAGTGGGGAGAGAGATGGGGAGGAGATGAGAGGAATCCTCCCTCCCTAGCGCACACCTGCTGTTACCAGTCTGTGACACTCAGAAAATACTGGTGTGACCTCCATAGACCTAGTCATCCTTGGGTTTTGATTCAGAATGAGACCAGCAATATAAACAATATTAATGTGTTAATTCTTCTTCTTCACTTTTCAGGCTGGAGTAAAAGGGACATTGGGAAGATTAGTTGGAATTTTTGAGGTAAGCCTGTTAAAATCTTTGATGCAATTGGTATCATGTTCGTAACCATGTAATATGGATATATGTATTTCTTTGTCTTCGTCCTTTCGGGCTGCTGTAACAAAACTGAGTGGCTTGTAAACACTAAAAATGGGTTTCTCACAGTTCTGGAAGCTAGAAAGTCCAAAATCAAGGCCCCAGCAGACTCACTGTCTGGTGAGGACCCACTTCCTGGTTCATAGTTACTAGTTTCTCCTGCTATCCAAAAGTAGTGTGTTCATAGGAAGCCTTTTGTAAGTCAAAATGGTAGAAAGTGAAGAAGCAATTAATTTATATGGTGATTTTTTTTTTTAGCACTTCCAAAACCAAAAAACAATCTCTCTGAGGCTTTTCTGATACTTCAGGATCCATGTTGTTAATGGTTACATAAAATAAGTGAAGTTAACGCACAGGTGTGCAGAGCCCCAGTCCACAGCTCTGGCGGCTCAATGAGGGAGTGCTGAGTGTAGTTCCCAGGGAAGGAGCCCAGCTGACCACCCTCTCCTCTCTCACGGCTCCAGGTGGCCACTGCTTCTAATAGCTCGCTGCAGTGGAAATGCTGAATGCTTCTTTTGCTTTTCACTTTTATTTTTTTAAATAAACGCAAATTCCTCTTCAGATTTCTTTCAGTTAGCAAAAGCGGGTACTGATGTAGGTCTTTCATAAAAGTGAAGTGGCTTACCTAGAATTTTTGAACAGCAGGGGGTACTTGTAGCCATTTCTCTCTGTTTTCACACAGTGAAAGGGGGATGGTTGCTCACTGGGGCCTCTTTTATCCCAAGAGTCAGCCCTTCTCAACCCAATCTGCTGCCACATTGGGAGCTCCTAATACTACCTCCTAATACTAATCCATTGGGAGTTAGGATTTCAACATCCTAATCATGGGGGGACAAAAACATCTAGTCCCTTGAGGTCTGAGTCTAGGGTAGACGCCATCTTTGTTTTGCTGTGTTTTCAAAACAAAGCAGCACCAAGAGAATAGTTTACTTTCTTTTTCAAAATCCCATAGTCTCCTCCAGACAAATAGGATTATTTCAAAGTACAGGCGTAACCTCAGAGATACTGTCGGTTCAGTTCCAGACCACTGCAATAGAGCATTTATTGCAATAAAGCAAGTCAAATGTTTGATTTTTGTCAGCGCATATAAAAGTTATATTTATACTATATTGTAGTGTATGAAGTGTATATATACACTTACAATGTCTGTATTAATGTATATGCCTTAATTTAAAAATACTTTATTGCTAAAAAATGCTAATCATCATGAACTTCTAGCAAGTTACAGTCTTTTTGCTGGGAGAGGGGATTGCCTCCGTGTTGATTGCTGACTGATCAGGGTCATGGTTGCTAAGAATTGGGTTGGCTGTGGCAGTTTCTTAAAATAAGAAGTTTGCAGGGAGCCTGGGTGGCTCAGCCATTAGGCGTCTGCCTTCGGCTCAGGTCGTGGTCCCGGGGTCCTGGGATCAAGCCCCTCCTCGGGCTCCCTGCTCAGCAGGAAGACTGCTTCTCCCTTTCCCACTCCCCCTGCTTGTGTTCCCTCTCTCACTGGGTCTCTCTCTGTCAAATAAATAAATAAAATATTTAAAAAAAAATAGCTTGTTGCACCAGTTGACTCTCCCTTTTGTATATACTTTTTCTGTAGCAGACTATGCTGTTTACACACAGTACAACTTCTTTCAAAATTGGGAGTCTGTCCTCTCAAACCTACTGCTGCTTTATCAACTGCGTTTATGGAATATTCTAAATCTTCTGTTGTCACTTCAACAATCTTCACACAGTCTTCACCAGGGGTAGACTCCATCTCAAGAAACCACTTTCTGTACTCGTCCATAAGAAGCAGCTTCTCATGTCTTCAGGTTTTACCATGAGATTGCAGCAATTCAGTTCCATTTTCAGGCTCCACTTCCTTCCTTCCTTCCTTCCTTCCTTCCTTCCTTCCTTCCTTTCTTTCTTTCTATCTTTTTTGATAGCATAAGCACAGGGCAGTTGGAAGGAGAGAAGGAGAGAGAGAGAGGTTTTTTTTTGTTTTGTTTTGTTTTGTTTTTTTTAAGATTTTATTTATTCGACAGAGAGAGATCACAGGTAGACGGAGAGGCAGGCAGAGAGAGAGAGAGAGGAGGAAGCAGGCTTCCTGCTAAGCAGAGAGCCCGACGTGGGACTCGATCCCAGGACCCTGAGATCATGACCTGAGCTGAAGGCAGCGGCTTAACCCACTGAGCCACCCAGGCGCCCCGAGAGAGAGAGTTTTAAGCAGACTCTATGTTGAATACGGAACCCAGTGCAGGGCTCCATCTCACGACTCTGAGATCATGACCTGAGCTGAAACCAAGAGTTGGACGCTTTGGGTCCCTGGGTGGCTCAGGTGGTTGGGCGAGTGCCTTTGGCTCAGGTCATGATCCTGGAGTTCCAGGATTGAGTCCCGCATCAGGCTCCCTGCTGAGCAGGGAGCCTGCTTCTCCCTCTGACCCTCCCCCTCTCATGCTCTCTCTCTCTCAAATAAATAAATAAAATCTTAAAAAAAAAAAAAAGAGTTGGACGCTTAACTGACTGCAGACTCCACTTACTCTAGTTCTCTTGCTCTTTCTACCACATCTGCAGTTTCTTCCTCCACTCAAGTCTTGAATCTCTCAAAATCCTTCATGAGGATTGCAATCAGCTTCTTCCAAACTCCTGTTCGTGTTGATATTTTTTACCTTTTTCCATGAATCACCATTGTTCTTTATGACATCTAGATGGTGAGTCCTTTCCAGAAGGTTTCCAGTTTTCTTTGCCCAGATCCATCAGAGGAATCACTCACTCTCTGGCAGCTCTAGCCTTATGAAGTGTATTTCTTAAATAGAAGGACTTACAAGTTGAAATGACTCCTTGATCCATGGTCTGTGGAACGGATGTTGTGCTAGCAGGCATGGAAACATTCATATTGTCCATCTCCATCAGAGCGCTTGGCTGACCAGGGACACTGTCAATGAGGAATCTTTTTTTTTTTTTTTGTGGGGTTTTTGGCTATTCTTATTAGCATATAATGTATTATTTGTTTTGAAAGGAATCTTTTTTTCTGAGCAGTTCTCAACAGCGGGCTTTAAGTATTCAGTAAACCATGTTGGAAACAGGTGTGTTGTCATCCAGGCTTTGTTCCATTTGTAAGAGCACGGCAGAGTCGATTTCGCTTAATTTTTGAGGACCCTAGGATATTTGGAATGATCCTTGAGCCCTGGCTTCAACTAGAAGTCACCAGCTGCTCTGACCAGAGAGTCACTCCGTCCTTTGAAGCTTTGCAGCCAGGCATTGACCTCTTTGACTATGAAAGTCCTAGATGGCATCTTCTTCCAATAGAAGGCTGTTTCGTCTACACTGAAAAGCTGTTGTCTAGTATAGCCCCGTCATGGATGATCAGACCTAGGTCTCCTGGAGAACTCGCTCCAGCTTCTCCACCAGCACCTGCTGCTTCCCCTTGCACTTTTGTGTTACGGAGACGGCTTCTTTCCTTAACCCGCATGAAGCCACCTCTCCTAGCTTCAGGCTTTTCTCCTTCGGCCTCCCCACCTCTCTCAGCCTTCACAGAACTGAAGAGAGCAAGGGCCTTGCTCTGGGTCAGGCTTTGTCTTAAGGGACGGTTGTGACTGGGTTGATCTTCCATCCAGAACATTCAAACCTTCTCCATATCAGCGGTAAGGCTGTTTCGCTTTCTTGTCATGCATGCGTTTACTGCAGTAGAACTTTTAATTTCCTTCCAAAACTTTTCCTTTGCATTCACACCTTGGCTAACTGGTGCGAGAGGCCTAGCTTTCAGCCTGTCTTGGCTTTCAGTGTGCCTTCCTCACCAAGCTTAATCATTGCGAGCTTCTGATTTAAAGGGAGTGTAGAGCTATGCAACTTTTTCTCTCACTTGAACATTTAGAAGCCACTGTAGGGTTATTAATTAGCTAATCTTGTTTTATAAGTTTATTTTTTTGTTGTTGGTTTTTTTTTAGAGTTTATTAGAGAGAGAGAGGAGCACAAGCAGGGGGAGCAGCTGGCAGAGGAGGAGAAAAGCAGACTCCTTGCTGAGCAGGGAGCCCAATACGGGGCTCAATCCCAGGACCCTGGGATCATGACCTGAGCCAAAGGCAGACGCTTAACCAATGGGGCTACACAGGCACTCCTCATTGGCCTAATCTTAATTTTGTTGTGTCTCAGGGAATAGGGAGAAGGACAGAGAGACGGGAATGGCCAGTCAGTGAGATTTGTTGCTTGAGTTCACTATCTTATAGGGGCATCCTTTGTGGGACCCTAAAACAATTACAATAGCAACATCAATAGTTACTGATCACGGATTGCCGTAACACTTACAATAATAATGAAAAAGTCTGAAGTACTGTGAGAATTACCAAACTGACAGACACAAAGTAAGTAAATGCCATTAGGAAGAAGACATTGGTAGACTTGCTTGACACCACATTGCCACAGACCTTCCATTTATAGCAGAGGCAGTGTCTGTAACGCACAAACAAGGTTTGCCTATATGGTTTATCCTGTCCCTACCTCTCTTCCTCTTCTCCAAGATACGAGGAAGGGACATACAGTGTAGAGAACACTGAAGGAAAAAGAAGATAAAGTAACTATATAGCAAAGGTGGAAAGAACAAGCTAAGAGGCTGGGTTGAGGTTTGGAGGAAGGTGGAAGGAAGTGAGAAGTGGGGAAATAAAGATGAGCAAAGTAAGTAGGAGAAGGGGAGACGTGCCAGATCATCAGCTTGCTCACGCTGATGGAACCCCCACCCACCCACAGCCTCTTCTCTTCCTTGTGTTCTTGCGAGTTACATTTCTCAAGGGGTCACAAACAACTTCTCACAGCCTTCCTGGGAAGTTGTACTTAGGGGAAGGGGAACAAAAAAAGAGATTAAAGCTTGGGCTTTAGAAGGCCAGCCAAAGAGCACAGCCGTAAATGCAAGTGCGGCATGTTTTAAATAGGCCATCTGGCGCTATTCCCTTTATGACTGTAGGATGATTAAAAGTAAAAGGAATGCTTGTGTCTGAGCTCTCTGGACATATGGCTAAGAGTGTGTTTCACTTAAGTAATCTCAGCTCTCTGAGGGAAAGCTCTTCCTCTTTCCTTTTCTCTTTGCCCTTCAGAACCAGGAGAGGAAGCACAGAACGTATGTGTATGTGCTCATTGTCACAGAAGTGCTGGAAGACTGGGAAGATTCCGTTAACATTGGTAAGTTGTCCCCAGATAGCTTTCAGAATGCTCCCCACCACTGGCCCTTGCCACACCACATGTCATGACCCAGACCTAGAAACAAGCCTGATGAAAGAAGTCATAGAAGAATATGTTTATTGGAACAAGCATGTCCATTTTGATGAAAAGTAGTGTTTTGAAATATTCAAAAGAAAGCTGAAGGTGGGTACCTGGTCAACCAATAGAAACATGGCGCCTAAAAAATAAGAAATGTGGTTTCTAACACCGAACTGGACCGTCCACAGCAGATAGTGACCCTCGGCCACAATGCTAGGGCCACCGCTGGCCACTAAACCCCAGCTGGGAGCAGGACCTTGGCTGTTCCTTGTGATGCTTATTCATACTGATGAAGAAAGCTGCTGGTTTGGTGGGGGGAGCCGCTCCCTCCAGAGTTGTGTGGTAGAAGCAGAGTAGTGGGAGCAGTTTCCGGTTTTACCCATACTTGCCTTTGGATGCCCCTCCCTTTCTCCTGAGAAGCCGTTCTCTTTGATCGCTCAGATCACTATTGGGTGTGTGTCTTTGGAACTAAAAACTTAGGAGATTTAATGGTTGGATCATGGTTTAATCTTTTGCCTCTGAAGGAAAGTATATTTTAGGAAAGTGTAATATTAATTTAAAAACCAGTTATATAGGGTGCCTGGGTGGCTCAGTTGGTTAAGCAACTGCCTTCGGCTCGGGTCATGATCCCGGAGCCCTGGGATCGAGTCCCACATCGGGCTCCCAGCTCCGTGGGGAGTCTGCTTCTCCCTCTGACCTCCCCCCCTCATGCTCTCTCTCTCACTCTGTCTCTCTGTCTCTCAAAATAAACAAATAAAAAATAAAAAAAATAATAAAAAAAAAAGTTATAAATCAGCAAATGGATAGAATCCAGTTGCTGAAACCTCTCCCTTTATGGTGCGTGTGTGCTTTGCCACCGTGCCCCTCATACTGCTGATGTTGGTGTTTTGTGGCCCTTCGGCTTTCAACGGCTTTGTATCTGGTAAGAATGCACTATGCTCAAGTAAATGAATTCAGTAGGGGTTTATTAAAAATAGCCTCCTTGACAGCCAGTGCTAGGGCTTAAAAAGGAGACAGATGAGTGTGGCATGGCCCTGTCCTCAGAGCACTCTGTCAGGCGGGAGTCACACACTTGTGATATGAATTATCAAGGTACCATTGCTCTATTAATATCCAACAGGACTTTCACCTTGTACTACTTGCGAGAATTGAAATACTGAAATAGTCTAAAATATGGAGAATAAGCCTGTGAGCTGTCCTTCAGATGAGCCTTTTTCGGGTGGAAATTGGCTTTTAAACGTACGCCTCAGTGAAGGATAAGTGAGCTGAGGTACATTCGTCTGATGGAATGTCACACAGCTGTTAAACACGGGCTTCTGAAAGCTAATAGACCATGGCAGAGGGCTTGTGAATCATTGTTGGTGAATGAAAAAAGCAGGGTATAAACTTATATATACACTAATTAGAGCTATATTAAAATAGGAATGTGAAATGAAAACAGAAATGAGGTTCTGGTTTTCACCTAAAGAATAAGGCAGTGACAGAGGGAAAGGTAGCATTGCTGAGCGGGGCGGTGGTGAGAACGACATGTGGCACACGCAGGCAGGGCTGAGGAGTGGGATGGCCCTGCTGAAAAGCCAATTTGGCATTACAGAACCAGAGGCCTTTAGAGTCCACATGTTTTATTCTTAGGATCTCAGTTCTAGGCCTCTTCTGGGAGGTTAAAAGAAAGAAAAAAACAAAGGTTTTTTGTTGTTGTTGTTGTTGTTTTTGAAGAGCGAGAGTGCTGGGGGCTGAGGGAGAGGGGAAGAGAGAGAATCCTAAGCAGGCTCCACACCCAGCACAGAGCCCAGACATGGGCTCCATCTCACAACCCTGAGATCGTGACCTGAGCCAAAATCAAGATTCAGATGCTCTACTGCCTGAGCCATCCAGGCGCTGCGCATATTTTTTTAATAATGTAGACAAGTACGTAAGAAAGAGTATGAAATAAAAAATGAAGCAATAATAATAGTACTGATAAGCAAACTCTTCTATACTGTGTGCCAGGTATCATTCAAATATCTTACATATTAATCCTCACAACTGGGGCACCAGGTTGGCTCAGTCAGTTAAGCGTCTGTCTTCAGCTCAGGTCATGATCTCAGGGTCCTGGGATGGAGTCCCGTATCGGGCTCCCTGCTCAGCGGGAAGCCTGCTTCTCTCCGGTTCCCCCTGCTTGTGTTCCCTCTCTCGCAATCTCTCTGTCAAACAGATGAAATCTTTAAAAAAAAAAAAAAAAAATCCTCACAACAGACTTGTGAGATGGGTACTAGTTATTACCTCTACAAATGAAGAAAGTGGGGCACAGCTCAGTACCTAGTTCAGTAACTTGCCACGAACTGACCGTTCATTAGAGCCAGTGATGTTATTGGAGCCCAGCGTGTTAGCTCCAGCATCAGGGTTTCTAACCACCGCACTCTTCTTAGAGCTGCTCAGGACTCCGAGCATCTGAAAGCATGATCCCAGTTATAGTTGTTCAGGGCAGCCTCTTTTTCAGATACGTTGGAAGAAAAGCAAAGACACAAAGATACCAAGGGTAGTCATTTGTGGTTTCTCGTGTTGTAGGTAATTGTATTCTTTATACTTTCTTCCATTTTCCTAATGTTAAGCAATGATCTTTTATTATAAGAGAAAAAAATAAAGGATTTTAAAAACAGATTTGAGAAAAAAGGAAGAAAACAGACTGAGAAGTTAGTAGGGATGGTTACTTTTAAAATATTTTATGATATATGGATATGTAACTCTTTAAATTCTGAAATAAATAACTGATTATAAGGCAGGCAGCCCCATAATTCTGGAAGCGGACGTTCGTGCTGATTTGTACAGAAGATGGGGGTGCTGGCTGGGCTTCAGGTGTGTACCTGCAAGCCAGGCAAGGCCCAGAGGCCCCGGAATGCGAGAGGAGACCAGGAGGGCGGGTTTCACACAGTCTGCTTCTCAGATGTCTTCCCTATCTTCTGCATCAGACATCTGTATGGTATTTGAAGCATATACTCTTGTAGGGAAAGAAAGGGAGGAAAAACACCTTCGTAATGCCCGGTTTTAAAGTCTTGATAATGTTGCTTTTCTGTTTTCAGCGACCCTTGCTCTGAAGCTGAAGATCAGAAGCCTGCGGTCGCTTCCCTTTTGTCCTCATTTCTTCTTCTGTCTGCCCCCACAGGAAGGAAGAGAGAATGGTTTAAAATAGAAGACGCCGTTAAAGTGCTGCAGTACCACAAGCCGGTGCAGGCGTCGTATTTTGAGACGTTGAGGCAAGGCTACTCGGCCAACAACGGCACCCCGGTCGTGGCCACCACGTACTCGGTTTCTTCCCAGAGCTCCAGGCCAGGCGTCAGATGACTGAAGACTTCGCGTAAGAGGAATGGAAATTGGAAACTAGACTGGGGCGCAGATCTTCCCTCCCTTGCTCTTTTCACCTCTCCTCACAGGCCTCCTCTCCAAATAAGGCATGATGGGCAGCAGAGAAAGGGGTTCTTGATGGTGTTGCTGTTTGGTGTTAAGTGATGGGCTTTTTCTTTTCTTTTTATGGAGGGGGTGGGGGGGTGGGTGTGTAATTTGTAAGTACTTTTGTGCATGATTGGTCCCTCCCTTTTCACACCCCTACAATTGTCTAGAGAGACAGACAGCCTTCCCTCGGCCTTGGATTCTGAAGTGTTCTGTTTGTCTCACCCCAGCCCTGGCCAGACGTTTTTTTCTTTGATTTTTAATTTTTTTTTTTTATTAAAAGATACCAGTATGAGATGAAACCTTTCAAGAATTTGTCCTCTAATGCGCTGTTCAGTCCAGGAGTCACTTCCCCGGCAGGGTACATTTATCTACACATTATATACTGGGCATATAATATGTAAATAAATGACTTTTAGAAGAGGAATTTAACTGTTTAATTTTTCAAGGTTTTTTTTTTTTAAATTCGGGGTGTTTCTGAAATGGAGAGCCTTGTAGTTAATTTCCCTTTTTGTTTTTTGATGCTAGTGGCTAGGTAAGTGTCCCTGTCCTCTCTCTCTTCCCCAGTCACTGACTGTAGTTACATAGGGTACGGAAAGAGTTTAGCTACCTTCGTAGCACTCCCAGAACTCATGGCCTTCTCAAAGTTGTGTTTCCATTGCCAAGAAAGACATAGGAAGAAACCTATTTTCTTTTCTATTACCGACCCGGGAGCAAATGGCCTCAGCTCAGACCTGGAGAAACAATGATAGAGATTGGAGTCCTCTGTACATGTTGACAGTAGGGATTTGAACTGGATTCTTGGGATCACTATCTAAAAAACTAGAGCATCAAGCACTGTTTCTGTCCTGCGGGTTGGAATTTTTTCCATTATGCTACTTACCGCCAACAGTGGCTTCTCTCCTCGTGCATCCATGCCTTACACCGTGCTGAACTGGACATTGTCCTTGTGCGGAATCGTCCGCTGGCCCGGGCCAGTGCAGGTGTATGGTCCCATCCCCTCCCGGGTGACCATGTTTAAGTTCCCGAAAATTACACGGGGAGGATGATTCAGGTGTCTGCTTATCTTTGCGATGTGACAGCACTTGGAATTGCACCACAGAGCATGCTCAGAAATAGTCAGTGTGTCTCCTGCTGGGATGTGAAAGGTCCATCTTCTGCTGAGAAGTGGCATGGGAGAACGCTGGGTGGTTGACTAGAACAACGACATCGTGCGTTGGCCCGCTGCAAACTCGTGTTGGTTTTTGATACAGGCTTTGTGCTGGCTTTGTTTGCCAGTTGTGTCATTTAGTTGGGAAGTAAGCAGAACAGGGTCTTGAGATGGAGTGGTGGGTCTAGGAGAGCGGACACTGTCAGTCCCTGGCTTAGGACATGCCGTTACTGGCATCTCCTTTGTCAAAATGTAGCCAGGATGTGAAATGAAAATCGTAGTTTTCTTTATTTAAAAATTCTAATAAATACTCAAACTTTGAAAAGCTTTTGCTCTTCCCTCCCACTAAAAGAGATGTATGTGTGTGTGTATGTGTGTATATATATATATACATATATATATATATATATGTATATATATATATATAAAAGATGTGGGCCTGTGTCATTCAGTGTTGAACATTTTGAGGGGACATCTTTCGAAGAACTTTAAATTTCTCTGTGTGTCTCTCAGTTTGTATCTTCTTTCCCAGTCTTGAGACACAGAACCACCAAAGGGTGCCCACAGTTTCCCTAGAATACTGTCCTACCTCTGGGAAAGGCATCCTTGTCCCTAGGTAAGGGTCCCAGTGGACAAACCGCACCACGGGATCTGAGTTTAAATACCAACTCACTGTTCGCATTTCTTGCTCCAAAACGAACCGACTGCCGCTTTTGCCTGACGAAGAGCAGTCTGAGCTACTGCCCGTGCAAGCAAAGGAGAAAATGTAACAGGTTCAACCAAGCACTAAGTGGAATCCAAAAGACATGTTCTTCCAACTAAATTCTGCCTTTACAAGATGGACTAAAAGTACTCTGCAGGAAAACAAGCAGGACTCCTAAAAAGAGAACTGCAGCGTTGCTAGTAATTCGTGCGTTTTTTCATGATCTAAAGATGTTTTTACTGGGCCAGTGTCACAACACAGGACCCTACCGAGTCCAGTGTGGACTGATGTTGGCGTCTTTGGGTCAGGAGAGTGAACTGTGCCCAGAGGTGTTTTTCAGTGACATGAATGGGTCCTATTAATGCAATTAACTGGGGAGATTGTGCTGATGCTTTCTTAACGGACAAAAAGAAGCTTTGTCCAACACCAGAATTATGAAACTGGTGCTATTTTCTGTTACACTGGGATCCTGATGAGCGAGGATTGGTTCCTCCCTCCCTGGCACCGTTAACACCATGGCTGTCTTCACGGCTGTGTAGTCATAGCCCTTCTGTGATAGATGACTCAGACCCGTGGTCGCGGTGGCCGTTACTCTTCCCCAGAGAAAGCAAGGAGAAACAGAAGAACTCACACAAGTGATCCCACTCGCAGAGGCTTTCTTGGACACCGCTTTGCCGTGAACTCTGCAGGTACGCACCTCATTCGAGCTCGACACAAACAGGTTGCTGTGTGTGGCACAGACACAGTCTCACAGTGAGTTTGCCTGTCAGGATTCTGGTTTATTACTAGGGCGTCCATCACAGTCCACCGTGCGCTGGATGGAGAAAGCACTGGGGATTTCACTTTGTTCACTTTGTTTTCAGTTTATCGTTTTGCAGCCACTGGGGAAGCATCAGTGAGGTCATGCCATCTTTTTGGACCAGGGCTCTGTGTGTGTGTGTGTGTGTGTGTGTGTGTGTATGTGTGAGTGAGAGAGAGAGAGAGAGAAAGAGAGAAGGGCTACCAGGAGTCGACTGTATCCGATTTGTTTGTAGCCTTCCAGAATGGCGTGGCCCATGAAACAAGAGTCCTCTGATTTTTCTCGTAGCACACCTGGCAGGATGCAAAAGTTAACGAATTGACAGTTTTGTTTTTACAAGTGTCCGCTGCCCCATCTGCCCCGTGTGGAGAGGGCTCCCATGATGCTGAGTCTGAGCTGAGGCCATCTGGAGGGATCAAAGCGTGTGGGAGGAGCACCCCCCCGTGAGGCCAAGGACGAGGAAGGCCTCGAAGGTGCAGGATTTCCGCCTTCTGCCTGGCGTGGTACAGCGCCGTAGAGCTAGGAGGCCTTGCCTCTCGGGGCCTCTGGGGAGCAGAGCGGGTCACACTGCTCCCGGGAGGCTTCTGCAGCAGTTTTGTAAACGCATTGCTACATAGTCAAGTTCCTTCGTGACACATAATTTCTGTTTTGACATTAGGAGTCAGTCCATGTAAGGTCTTTTAGACTTGCTTAGAAGAAAAAAAAATTCACCTTTTGTTGCAGAAAGGAGAATAAAATGTCCACGCAGAAATGTTCTTCCTCCTTCCCCTTTCTCTTGCCCACACACAGTTCTTGTTGGAGGCCCCCCTTCCCCGCCAGAACCTATGTAATCAGAGGAGTAAGCCGACTTCCACCGGACCTGGCAGTGCATCTCACATTGTACTGTATGTGCTTGTCGTTTCCACCTAGTGCTGGGGGAGTGCCTCTGTTGGTCTCCCCACCTGACCTTTTTTAAAAACAGCTTAGCCTGAGCCACATTTCTTTTGGTTCCTTAAAAAGGATTTAACAACCACAGTGCGATCTTTGCCACGACTGTGTGATTTTTAGTATTTCTGAAGTGTTCTTGAAGTCCAGCCTAGTTGAGAGGAAATTTAGAATTAGAAGAAATACCTAGAGAAGTCGTCACAATCGGCTGAATTTTTACTTTAAGGGAAATGAGGATTAGCTATCGTTTATACTCCAGCCTCGTCCTGGTCCTTTCTGCATTTCAGAACACCCATGTTTATAACAAATAGGAAACCTGTTAGCTCAAGAGTCTCTGGGGTGAGGAGATTATCTAATGGTGATTATACCAGGCAAGGGCTCTTGTGGTTCTTGTTCTTAAAACTCTGAAAGAGGTCAGACCCGAAGCGACACAGGTCGTACTGCCCTGCCGAGGTGACAGCCATTCCTTCTGAGCCCTGCTGGGATGGAACCCGTTTCCCCAAGGCCGTGGGGGGGTGGCTTCCAGGCTGGGCAGCTGCCGATGTTTGTGACCTCAGCCTTGCTCCATCCGGGCACCCATCTCACTCAGAGTAGGTGGGAAAGCAGCCCAGGGTCAGCCTAGGTTCTCTGGGGTGAGCCTTGCAACAGAGACTTCACTGTCCTGGAAGAGCTGGGTTCCGTTGTCGTTTTAGACGACATAAAGCAGACATTGGAGATTTTCAGGGAGTAAATTGGGAAGCACTGGCTACAATCCATGAAAGCCACTGTTGTCTGTTGATTAGGTAACTTGAGGTGACCAGAGGCCCTGGGAACCTGGGGATGTGAGGCAGACTCTAATCTGGAGGCCAGCAGCCTTTCTGCTTCCGCCTCGACAGAGGCAGCTTCACTCTTTGACCACATTTTTGCCGTAGCTGATGACCTTTCGGGGATGTGAGAAGCCTGATCAGAACATCCGAGCAAATGATACCTCTCACTCTCAGATTCATGAAATAGTTTGCCCTCCTAGTCCCCTTAAAAACGAATAAGTAAAAAGAGAAAGAAAGGATGCTGTTTGGTGAGGGTGTGGATGCACTGCTTGAGCTGAGGTGGGTAGTCCCATGATTTTGTGTCTGCAGTATGAAGCTTTCTGAGTCAAAAAGGCATGTCTCTCCCCAGAAGCTTTATTTATAGTGAAGATTTGGTGAGCTTTAGTCGTCTGAAAAAATGAGACCGTCCACTTGAAGGGGAGCTCACAGGGAAGCCACATCAACTCGGAATTCACGCCAGGAGGGATTCTGCTACAGAAGAAAGTGCCTTTGGCCAAAAAAGCAAGATTAATATCTAAAAGGTGGACAAGCATTGCTTCTGTTCCTCCAGCAACCAGTTGTTTAATAATTAACTCTCGGTTTCCTTTGGTTTACATTCTCAGTTCCGAACCCCATAAAGAAGTCCCTAGAACATACAAAAAAAAAAGGCATCTAAAACTCTGGAGATTGGCTTTAAAAGACCCAAAAGCAGCCACATTGTCATTTTCCAGGTTCCTCGCCATTTTGACATGCTGCCCGTCCTTTCACACTCTGCAGCCAGCCCAGATGTGAAGACTGGATTCATTGACTTGAGGAACCTCAGTTCTGGTTCTGGAACAATTACCTGCTTAATTGCTTACTGCCTGTGGAAGTTATCTGTGGGGTGTACCTTTCAGAGAACATTTCAGTGGTATAGTAAAATTCTTCTGGGCTCAAGGGCC